ACTCTATAAGGGAGCTGCAGATTTAGGTGATAACTCTCTTTATGTTCGACCTCTTTTGCATTGTGACCTTGTCATTTCATACATTATAGCTGCTTTACTCAAGAATCTTTCCCAAAGTGTAAAGCTATTCCTTTAAAACAGAAATGACTACTTCTTCTAGTGTTCAATATTGTATGTATATCATTCCTAATTATAGGACTTTCTTGTGCCAGTACTGTATAACTGATTAATGGTAACTGAAAATCTTGAACATAAAAGGTACAGAGACACAGAATCATATTCTCATGTAAGTTAAGGCTCTCAGATTTTCTGCAAGATCATCATATTGGAAATCCAAAACAGTGAACAGGCTGCAGAAATTAATACCTTTTCCTTTGGCTTGCACACAGATTGTTAATGATCTTTATCATGCTTTTTCCTTTCACTGAGTCCCAGTGGCCCAGTAATGTTTATTTCTTGCCACTAAGCCAATATAAGATGGTTCAGGAAGAACATATGAAAGAGGATCCTTAAGGGATATGGGGAAAGGATGTACTATTAGTTGATCAATATGGCCATTTTCAGTAGCAGAAAAACCTCCTGGAGCGACTCAACCTGTCTTTCACTTGGATTAAATGTTACATAGCCACAGAGGGCGTGTGACGTTTAATGAGTCAATATGCTGATTCTGCATGAGCTCAGTTATCACTCAAGCAGAGAGAAACACATGCAGAAAGGTGTGACAGACAGCCATCAGGAGAATCTACAGTGAATTAAATGGCATATTAATTTACGGGGGGATTCTTTGTGCTTTTTAACCAGGATCAATACTGTCGGCTGGGAGTAAAAGCTGGATGGTCAGGCGATCACAGTCACTTCGAGTGTCTCTGTGTCAGTCTGCCATGTTTTGTGTTGTAGTCCACTGTGTGCAGTGCAGCTAAAACCGCAACTGTAACACACCTCAATATTCAGATGAGGAATATGAAATAGTTTTTTAATATTTTAAGTTTAAACTTTCTTTAAAGCAACATCAAGTCATTTTAGTTCAGGGGCAGCTGTTTAAATTAATACAAGTGTTACATGAACTCTGCTGTTTGCCATTCATTATGAGATTTGGTTGAGTTTGCAGATGCTTAAAGTAGCAGCAGAACTGGCAAAGCGGAAACACCGAGTGCTGCGTGTCCCTCTGCACTGATAACTGGACAAACTACCTGCAATCTAAGCCATTAACTGACTGTTGAATTTTCTCTAGAGACAATACCACGCTATTGTGTGCGCTCAGACAAGACGGTTAACGCTCTCCAGCTCCTCGAACACATCTCTGCACCGCACATTGTACCACCACCAGCTCATCATTTGCACTGGTTGTGCTCGGTGCCAAAGTAATGTGTCTGTAAATGGAGGCATAGCAGCCAAAATCCAAATTAACTGACCAGGAGCAGACCTGGGGTATCTGTCGCTCCCAAGCACCAGAAGCTTTAAGAAAATCTGGACTTAGGAGGCTGCCAGAGAAACCATCTGTGTGCTGTGGCTGCATAAGCTCCATCAGCTGTGCTGTCACCCTTATCTCTGCACCTCCATCTTAGCTTCAATATTTGAAAACCAACTGAATGCACAAGCAAACAGTAGATCTGCTCTCTCCGTTACAAAACAAGCATTCATGAGCACCAGATTATCTAATTGTAAATACCGAATGGATCAGAAGAATCAACTTCTTTTAATACTGTCAACATTAGCTTCTTGCAAAGTGTCTCTTTCATTTTGTCGAGAAATCTAACAAATGAAAAATAGAAACGAACACATTAACAGCCACTGATCATACTCTTTCAAGAGGTACTGAAGAAAATATTCCCATATATAACAGCCACTAATTATATACTAGAAAAGAAAACTTTGTGCAGACACTTTGTGCTGTGTTGCTGTTTATTTTCTTTTTTTCTGAGTGTCTTAAGCACAAGTTATTGCACTGAAGATAACTCCCCACTAACTGTAAAAAAAAAGGAGAAAAAAAACACTTCATAGTTTTATGTGACAATTATCTTGCATATTTTTCTCAGTAAACCAAGGTGTAATCAAATTTAGATTTTTGCTGAGAAAATTGTCTTACTTTTGGGATTTCAGCATTTGCTGTGTTTTTGTTTTTAATGCTATATAATATAACACAAATAATGTAAATATTGTTTTAGAATCCAGACTGACGTACAGCTCAGATCATAACTATTTGGTGAATTACACCTTTTTTTTTTTTTTTTTTTACTATTATTCAGTCTCTGCATTTCAGCAAATTCAATTTGAGATAAAATAATGGATGCTACATTAAAGTGCCAAGCCTCAGCTTTTATTTGAGGCAGTGTACATCAATATAGAAAGCACTGTGTGTAAGAGACAGCTCTTTCAAAATGTAAAGCCCCACTGCAAGTGTTCAAAAGTAAATAGACACCTATCTAATATTTCTTGTTCGCAGCTGTTTGATTTTAGTGTCAGTTAGTGCTGTTGAAGCTGTGTGTCAATATGAGGAGTAAATATGTGACCACACAAGTGAAGAAGATAACTTCAAGGTTTACAAAAGCAAAACTGATTGGAGGAATAGCAAAGTTAGTTGCAATGCCAAAATCAGCAGCTGGGTACAAAAAACAGGTGTTCACAGGAAAACTTCACAATGGCAAAGAACCCAGCGGACTGATGAGGACTGAGGGATGAGTCAAAGATCATTTGCATTGGGAAAAAAAATACATTTATGACGAGACAGCAAATCAAGAAAGCTCTCTAGGATGCAGTCTTTATGAATACAACTCTGGAAGATTAAACCTCTGAAACAAAAAGGCAACAAAACACGCAAAAAGAAAGCAGCAGAGTTCTAGAATGATATTTCAGGAACAGAATTTGATTCTGTCAAATGTATGAAAATCTTTTTAAATGACAATTACTTGTTTTTACCTTGCTTACTATATTTACTGCCATTATTATGCACCAAAATACCCCAACAAATTTCTTGAAAGTGTAAACTTACTTGTCAATACAGATGATTCTGAGTCGTCAGTTTACCAGGGTGAAGAAGTAGAACATTCTTAACTGGTCTCAACTGATCCTGCAGTTCCATTGGTCAGCAGAAGAGGGCTGCAGTTGGAGAGCATCGCCAGGGACAGCATGTCTGATGTATGAGGGACGAAGACTTCAGGCAGTCATTTCCTAAAAAAGATGTTCCACAAAATATTCAATTTGACGTTTTTGTTCATGCTCGTGATTGTCTGTCCAATTGATGTTGAAACCACTAAGTTTTAAATAGCTATATATCGCCCACACATTTTGTTCTAAACACATTCCAAATAAACACTCAATATATAAATCATTCTGTTAACAGTCTCTCAATCGCAACAGCAATAAAAGATGTGGTTTGATAATATTTTGAAGCAGCACATATAGTTTATACATGTATGATATAAATTAAACTGGAGAACATAATATGGAAAAAAAAATTAAAATAGGAAGGTAGCGAAGAAAAAAGGTACGCTCACAACATATTCAGACAGAAGTTTCAAGGAACAAACCTTTATATCTTTCTATAAGCGCAATATTTTTTTGTTGTTTAGTAAACTAAGGAATTTCAGTAGAGAGTTCAGTTTTAGAAGAAAAGGTGAAAAAACTTAGGAGGAATTTAGCATATTTCTGTATGTTAATATAAAAGTGCTAATTTATTGATTATGTTAATCAGATATTCAAGAGTGTCATTTGGATTATCATAGTAACATAGTTTTGTTACAACATTACACAGAGCTGGAAAGTAAAAAAAAAAAAAAAAAAAAGTTAGATTCCAAAACTTTTGGGATGTTTGTCAAAGCATGGGTGCAAAAAATTGTTTCTGTATTATGTTCACAAAAGGTACAAGACATATCAACGTCTATGAACCTGACAGCAGTGTATATTTAATGTAAAATTATGCAATATACTTCTTCAGCCTTGCTTGAAATGCAATACTTTCAAGCCAGGTGATTCACCGGGTAATGTTTTCAGTCTCCACACAAAGTTGCCTCTACCTGCAGTTCCACTCTTTCTTTGAAAAGTTTAGCAACTATGTTAGCTAACGTCACGTCAACATACAACTTACCATTAGGTGAATGCACATACAGCAACCTAGCTATTGAAATGTGGTGAGTGCAGCTGTGGGGTAGTCCAGCGTGGTCAAAATAGTCGTACGAAAACACTACAGATTTTTCACGAGTAAGAAATACAGGAAATAGACTGACGAAACAACAGAGTGGCTAGCCAGCTATCTCGCCAGCAAATTGCGTTTCCAAGGTTACAGCGGGTATGACGACATTTAAAGGCGACTTCACTGAGCCGCGCCCTGACACTTTTCTTTTCGCCGGCTTTGAACCACGGTCGCTGGTTTTAACATTGTTTAAAACATTGGGAATAATTTCAGTACACAAATCAACCAAATATAACATTGTCATCGTTACTTGAATACATTTCGATTGCAGAAATTTTATATAACAATTGAGACTGTACAAATTAAATTTCCTCCTTTCGCGTCCCCTTCAGTTTCCTTTGCCATATATTTATCACCTGTTTCATTTTAAATTCATTCAATAAAAAATATTTTCTTCAGTAAATTCCAAACTGATTAATTGAATGCAAACTGCTGTCTCCAAAGAGTCTTCAAGTAAAGATGAGTCAGCCGCAAACGCAGCTGTGTGGAGGATTTGTGCGCACTGAATTGTGGGAAATATGAGCCTACGAAGAAGACTGGCAATTTTTAGGATAACTTGACGCTTCTAATAAATCCTAGTTATTATTTTTTTTTTTTTTAGTTTACTCTGTGGCAGTTTATGCTTTATTTATGCAATTTTATCCAAAGTGTTTGTGCTTCTGACTGTTCTGTTTCAGCTTTCCAACTGTTTTCAGTCTCCGTCATCAAAGCTACTCTCTGTTGACCCATCTCCACCATGTACGGGCTCTGGCTCGGTTTGCGTCCCGTGGAGCAATCCTCCCCCCTACCGGAGGAGTCCCGTGACACCGGAAGATTACCAACGACCTGTAACGGGAAATTTCTGGACCGAGCGCTCCATACACCGAGTCGATTTGCTGTCAAAGATGAGTGGCAGTATCGCTAATTTCAAAAACTGCGGCTCGGTGCTGGTGACCGGAGCCAGCCGGGGGCTCGGGCTGGAGATAGTCCACTGTCTGGCGAGTGGAGCCTTCTCACCGGGCAAGATCATCGCCACGGCCCGAGACGCTGCCAAGGCGGAGGTAAACGAACACCAACACCTCCCGGTAGTTTGCTGTGGCTGTAGTGCTTTTAGGATCGATTTTTTTGAGGGATAATGCAGTTTTGCTCCCGCTGAGATGACGCAATAAAGAGGTGGAGGTGTATTTAAGTATTTAAATAAAGTTTAATGATGGCCGCCACCAGCAGAGGCCGCCATTGTTCCCTGACTCCATAACAACCTGCTGTGCTTTTGACCCACAGAAACTTCAGGAACTGGCAAAGCAGCATCCAAACATCCACATTGTCACTCTGGGTAAGACCGAGATAAAAGCAAATAATGAATGAGAAACTAACAGAAACACACATGTAGAGTTTTCAGATAAAATAAGATTATAATTAATTATTCATCCTAAAGGAAAGTACTGTGCCAGATATTAAAAACCAAAGTGCACACTGCAATTTTGTTACTGTATCCATCATCATCATCATCATCATTATTATTATTATTATTATTATTATTATTGCTAATGTTGTGTTGTTGCCAGTTCAACAATTTCCCTGAGGTTCAACCAAAGGGATCAATAAAGATCTATCTATCTATCTATCTATCTATCTATCTATCTATCTATCTATCTATCTATCTGTTGAGGCGTGCTCGTTTTTTGAGATAGAAGACAGACAACCTTTCTCATTTAAAGCTGTTTATTCTGTAAAAATGTACATGTTCAAGGATCCAGCACTGGTTCAGAAAATCACAGGCAGCAAGCTGTTAGTCTGTAACCCACTTCCCCAGCAATGGATGGAGCTTCATGTGAACACAAACATTTGTTTCAGTATAGTGTGATTGGCTGGTGAACACAGACATTTAATTCATTTAGTGCAATGTGAATGGCTACCTGGTTGGGGAGAAACCATGGTTTAGACTTAGCTCACCCTTCGTTGGCGCACAGATATGTCCATATCTCTTGGCACACGATTCATTCAATCCGCACCCTGTAAAGACAACCGTCCCTACTGGTATTTCCCGCTCTCTGGCTGTTAATACTTTTCCTTTGTTCATTGTTGTGTGCTGCACCTGATGCTGATATCTTATAGGGAGGATGTTATGATTGTCAGCGCAAAACAGCCTCAGCAGAGCGGAGGTACGCCAGTGTGTATAGCATCTTTATCAGAGCAGAAGCATTCTATGTTCTGGTATCAAAATGTGTGTGTGTGTGTGTGTGTGTGTGTGTGTGTGTGTGTGTGAGAAGCTGCATTCCTTCTATCTGACCTTGTATAACCTTCATGTGTTCAGTCCATCAGAGCCTGGGACTGATGCTTGAATCCTTCTTTACCTTTCTTCAGATCAGCACAACTCATGCATTGTTACACATTAAATGGTGTCAGTGGCAAAGCTAAGCCAGCAGTGCCTTTACAAAACAACATATTCCAACAATAAAATGACAAACTGCTGTGTCTGATAGAAAAACAATGACATATATAGGATACATGACTAAAAATAATAATACATTAATGAAATATTGGACATTTAAATATTACACGTGCAGATGAGATGCCGCATCTGAAAAATAAAATACTGCACTTTACATTGGCATGAAAACAAAATATTGTACATTTAATTGAGATTGGCCGTGATACTGAAAGTGATATTGCACAAAGCATTGCGAAAAGTAATATTACAAATTATATTGATATTATTGTTCAGATTGAAATTGTCATTCCTGCGGAAGTCGGGGAGTTTTACAGTTTGAAACAGACAGTTTTTGCATCTGTAAATGGAAAGGACATTGTATATTCTGATTAACTGGCAAGATTATTCTTTGCCATTTGATTATGTCAGTCACGGAAAACGTCTTACACGTAGAGATTTAAAGTTACTAACAGTGATAGGATTGTCTCTGTATGTTGCGTAGAATCATCTTCATTATTTATTTGTTTGTTCTCCTTTGTGTCTTTGGTTTGAGGATGTAACGATATTTAAAACTTTCTGCACATTCAGAACATGTTCTGATTGATATGCTGAGCAAAGAGTCTATGAGCAAACATTATGAGCTTATTTTGTACCTTAAAGTTCTTTTCTTCTTTAATGTTATTGTCTGCATGGACAAATGCAGACATTGAAAGGGACGTATCACCTGCATCCCCCATGAAATCTGTAATCAGTGAAGAAGTTTATGCGCAATTAGTGACTTAAACACACGCTGGCCTCATTGTACCAGTTTAAACAAGAAGTTATCTCTTGATTTATTTTCCATGTGTTCAGCTTTGGTTTGGTTCTGCTGATCTGCTGTGTTGGTGTCTCTCCTTCAGATGTATTGAGCCAGGAGAGCATAGAGAAATGTGCAGAAGACGTGGCCCAGCTGGTGCAAGAAGAGGGTCTGAACTGCCTGATCAACAATGCAGGGATCAACGTGGTGGCCGACTTTCATTCTGTTACTGCAGAGAAGATGATAGAAAACTTCCACACCAATTCTGTGGCTCCTCTGATGATCACCAAGGTAATGCTTTTTTAAATATGTTTTGTACTTCCTGCCAACGTGGGTGTAATGGATCAGCTTCTCAGTGGTCAAAAAAAGTTTTGTTTGGAAGCCTTCACTTTACCACAAAGTGAAGTAAAAAAGTGAAGCAGCCACATTTGTGTTTTCCTCAGTCACCAGGAGCTCGACCCATGAGCGCTTCTTTTCCTGAATGATGGGAACTAACTCAAAATGATGACCTTGAAGGACAGAAGCAACAAACCCCCTTGGGTTAGGACAGGCTGCATGTCATGAATATTAATTGAAGCTTTGGTTTTGGTTTGCCTCAGAGTACAGGGCGGACTGCAGAGCAGCACCCTGCGCTGGTACAAATTCAGGCACTGATCAAAAGCGTGTCAGCAGGGCAGATTCTTGCTGACTCACAGTTTGCTCCCACTGAAGGACAGTTTCTGTAAGTGCAAGGCCACACTGCTGCCCAAAGGTCTGCTTCACTTTGTAAATGAACAGTGAGTCACATAAAGCAGAAGCTGCCACTCCTCTCTCTGTGGACTTCCAAACTAATTCTACAGCTTCATTTGCACACAGTCACTGAGAAACTTGAGAAAACAACAAAGCACTGATTGAATTAGGAGCTGTTTTAATAACCAATTAATTATCTGAGTCATTTTTATAAACAAAAAGAATAAATATTTGGTGTTTCAATCCTCAGATTTGAGGATTTTTGCTTTTATTTGTCTGAATACACAAATTATTTTTGTGTTGTTGGAAAAGAGAAACAATTTAAAGATGCTGCACTGGGTTGTGGAACTTTTTTTTTTTTTTTTACTCCTTTTTCCACTTTTCAAATAATTAATTATTAATAATTTGAAAAAATAACCAGAAGAGGAAACTATTTGGAAAAATAATCTCTATTTGCAGCCCAAACTCTGACCACTGTAGGGCTTCATGACTTGTTTTGTCAGAGAAAAACTTTGTTGACTTTTAGCCGGATTTGATATAGTTTTGTTTGTGTTTTTTCAGATTTTTTTTATTGAGGATATCAAAACAAAATAGAAGATTAACTTTCAATTGTGACTGCTCGTATAACACATTCATTGGTATTACGATAGCCTGCTGTTGTGTACAGTGTTAGGACAGGGAGAAAGAGTGTCTGGATTAAATGTCAGGGTATTTTAGTATTTCTCAGAGTATTGATCGGTTAAAAGATACTCCATTTAATACAGTTTCACTGAGATAAACAGGTCATTACAGTGTTAAAATTCAAATGCAACTTGAGATGTTGATATATTCCTCGTTAGAAAAATCTATATAGAGAGTTCACACCGTTTCCCTGTGAGGTGTCCATGCTGCCACCAGAGGGCAGCAGTCACCTTCTCTCTCCACACATACAGTGTGAAACTTGTCACTGAGTGGGAATGCACTAGATCTTCTTAAAAAGGCAAGATTATGCATTAGGATAGATTTTTTTTCCTAGATTTGGCCTCTTTGATGACCTTATTTATTTCTAGTGTTATTTTCCTTTTTAAATCTTTAAATAAAACTACAATAATTTGGAACTAATCCAGAAAATTGTCACATAAATTTGCACCTCCTCATTTTTAATGTGTGATATATTCATTCTTTTCTGCCCCTGCCAGGCCTTTCTGCCTCTGCTGAAGCGAGCGGCGTCCAGAGGAGCAGCAGCTGGCTCAAAGACGATGGGCATCCAGAGGGCAGCTGTCATCAACATGAGCTCTCTGCTGGGCTCTGTGGAGCTCAACTGGGGCGAGGGGGCCAACAACTTTAAATGGTATCCCTACAGGACTTCCAAGGTATTGTTCACCATGGTGGGAAAGCATTGGCTTAAAGGATAATTCTAGTTTGTGATATGGCCATTGTGGCTCGAGGAGCTGTGCTAGTTTTTCCACCTCCGTTGTGTCGATTTTGGGGGAAGGAGGAGTTTCACAAAACAGCATGCAAAAAGTATATATCACTGAAAAAAGTGTGAGCTTCCTGCAGCTTTCCACAATTCCTGATTAATACATTAATCATTTTAAATATTTGTTGTCAAGTCTGACTGAGAGTAAACACAGATATTAACCACCTGGAACAGCCATCTTGGTAACTGCATCAGTGGTCTTCATCCATCAGACAAAATCATCCTGCAAGTACGTCTACACATGCTAGTTTATTAAGATGTGAAAGACTGGCTTTCTGGAAACCAAACTAGCTGAATTACCTCACGCAACATGATGAAGATGATCACAAGGCATTCAGTTTGACGGTTAAAAGACAAGATATCTCTGGAAACTCATGGAAGAAAGTTTATGGCTGCAACGACTGAGTTCTGTTAATGCCAGACTTGGAAGATCTTCATGTGTCTATTGATGAGAGCGATCCCAGCTTTGGAACTACAGCTAATGAATCTGCAGCTTTGATAAACATTGCTGCTGTGAAGATTTACTGCTTTAAAACAAGCTGAAAGAAAAGACCAAGACTATCCAGATTTAATGCTCAGCTCTCCATATGGTGAATAAATCCAATACTACAAGAAAAAATAGATTTATGTGATGGATAGCCTTTTCTCCAGCAAGAACATTTGCCACCTGACCTAATGCTATGTGATTAGATCAGCCGGCCTGTTGTTCCCATAGACTGTATAAAAGATGGACGTAGCAACCGGCCCTGAAAAATGAAGCCAACCCGGAAGTGTCAAAAACCTGCAATATCACTACGTCCACTAGCTGCTGACTCCAAAAAGCCCTGGCTCCCATAGAAATGAACTGGAAAAGAAGTGATCACAGATCATGAAATACTGCATTCCTACAGCTCAGGATTTTTTAAAAAATTAGTTTTCATAGTCAAATCCAGAGATCAGGTGGCCAATCTGAAAATAAATCAGTACTTAGTTTTTAAAAAATTGTCAACATTTTGCGGGGCAAGGGGCGTGGCTGGCTTGATTGACAGTCGGCAGCGACCATACAGATGAAGCGAGTAGACAGCGGTAAATGTGGGCGGGCAGAGAGGGCCCGCCTCTCAATCCGTCTGACCAATCGCTGCTCCTATGGCTCCGCCCCCCTCCGACAATTTTTGCGTCACTGGCTCCAAAAATCCAAGATGTCAACCAGGAAGTAGCAAAACCCTGGCTTCATTTTCTCAGTGCAGAAACCAACGGGTGACGTCACGGAAGCTACGTCCATCTTTTATACAGTCTGTGGTTGTTCCTTATTCAGGTCCACAGTGCAGTTAGCAAGGTGTTTATTCCAGGTAGCTAAATTTCTGTGTTTACTGGCAGCCAGACTTAAAAAACAAACATTTAAAAAATATTTTTTGGGGGAGAAACTGCAAGAAGCATGTGCAAGTTGCTCTGATACAGACTGTGCACAGTGTTTTGTGCAACTAAAGGAGGTAAAGTGTGCAGTTGGCGTCACCCACAAAGCCAAAGTAGGTTAAAATAAACTGGAATCATCCTTTAATACCACATAATCAGAAAGGAGAGACTGTTTAAGGATGTAAGGTAGGTTAACCCCACATTAGTATCAGTGTAAAAAGTTCCTGCTTGTCTTCTCAGAGTGCTCTCAACATGATCAGTCGCTGTATGGCCGTAGACCTGCAGCCTGATGGGATTCTCTGTATGGTCATCCACCCCGGCTGGGTCCGCACCGACATGGGGGGGAAGGAGGTAAGAGGAACGGCTGTCACGCTGTGTTTTTTCACATTGTGTTAAAATGTCTGCGCCTGAACGTGTGTTTTGCTTCTCTGTTCCTTTCCAGGCTCCACTGAGTACTGAAGAAAGCATTTCTGCCGTCTTGTCTGTGATCGGTGGGCTGACTGAAAAGGATCACGGGTCATTTCTGAACTTTACAGGGGAGCAGTTGCCATGGTGACCCTGATCATCACAGTGCTGAGTAGGAACATTATGAGAACTATTCACTGATCCTAACTGTTACTATGCAAACCTGAACATATCAGTAGCTTCGCCTGCCCAGTGTTACTTGAGTTCTTTCTGCTACATGATATCTTGTATATTATACCTAAATAGAGCTCAGTCAGCTGATAAAGTTGCACATAATTTAATATTAAGAGATGAGTATTCGTATGTAAATTGAAGGTGGTGCGACAAACCATCGCTACAGTGTGCTGTAGCTGAGTCGTGTTCACATGTAAACAAAACATAATTCCTTGATATGATATGATAGGAGAATATCATGGACTGTATATAAACATGGACGGTGTATAACGGAAGGATTTTTATAGATAAAGAAAGAATTGCGAGTGTTCTAGCTTGCTAGCTATAAAATGGTTGTGTGCTTGGCTTGCTGGCTTTAACATTAGCATTAAAGGTCTCATGTGGTGGAAATCCATTTTTATTGTGTTTTGTGGTTTTTTATAAACTAGGAGGCGTAAAAAAACAAAACAAAAAAAAACTGTTAAGCTATTAATATGTTTCTTCGATTCCTCAAGTCCCCCCACTAAGAGTTAGCCTTCCAGCTTTAGAGGCGAGGGAGGATCTAACACCTCACTAACAAATAGTCCTCCAGCTCAAACTGTGATCGACGGTTCCAGCTGACAATCAGCAGCGTCTCGTTGGTCTTCAGAGCAGAACAGCCCATTTAGAGCAGCCGTTAAACCAGGAGTTACACAGTCACTCTGAAATTCATCATCTTTGCAGTATTTTGAGCAGAAAAACACACAATGGGGACATGTGACACTTCAATTAATTTGCTGATAAGAGGCAAAATATGGAACGTTTCTTTTGGTTTCTCTTCAGTTCAGAACTGAGATACTCAATGACCTCCAGTAGGTGCTCTGATCCTAGCTGTACTGCTGCTGCCTGGGTGGCCAGACATCCTCGATGAGGTGCTTGTACAAAATAATGAAGCGTTTTAAACATCAGGCATTCATCACAGTAGAAGAGGGAATTGTTGAAATTAAGGAAATTGTAATTTTTTAGGACGTTGAGGTGATGATGATCTCTGAAGTCTACACTAACCTCTGAGTGAAATTCATCACACTGTGGGATTCTTCATGGTTCATTCTTGAACCTTTGCTTTTTAATCTCATTATAAACCTTCTAGCCAATGTTTTTAGCACATGCAATATTACATTTTTTATTAGTGCGCCGATGTTACATGGGTACATCAGTTCTTATGAATGAAATTAAATGAAAAATAAAAAAAATACTTTATTTATCCCAGAAGGGAAATTCAATCTTGTAAAAGCTCACCTTCTCCTTTTCTCCTTTTTTAAAATCAATACAACATATATTCCACACAACAACAACAATCATTCAGTCAGTCAACCGTCAGTCAGGATGCATATAGGATGCCTGGAAGCCTACTGAATCTATTTTTCACCACTTAGATGATATTAATACTTCCTGCAGCTATAAAGACATAAAACAGTTGCTGCCATTAGTAGAAATCAAACACAACAAAAAGGTTAAACTATTAAACTCCATGAGAAATGTCTGCACATCAGCTTTTGATAATATTTTCAGGGTCTATTGACAGCGAGAAATGAAACAGTCTCCTGTCTGGTCTGGTAAAAACAGTGCTGAAGGAATTTTAAGTTATTTAATGAAAGTGTCTCCAAAGCATTCGGCAGTTTGAACAGATGTATGTTTCAGTCACATCACGTAGATCATGGAAGCTTATTAGCAAGCTGCACTGTTTAGTCAAAGAAATGACAAACTCATTTTTCAAGCTGATCTTAATCTTAAAACATGCTGGAGTTTAACTAAGTTAATTTTAGTTCTAATTTATTTCCCTCTTTCTTTTTACTATACTGTTCATTCTGTGATCCGTCCTCAAACAAGTAAACAAGGGGAGTTACGCTGATTTATTTTTGTTCCTCGTTCCTCCTGGTAACTTTATCTTTCATCTGTTTCTCGGTACGTTTCCTCTATCCCCTACATTCCTCGCTGTCAGCAGGCAAAACAATAGCTGATGAGTCTGAAAGATAAGTCATGTAGGACACATGTCATTTAAAGTCATGTCTTCGTCTTAGCGGCCCTTTAGCTGTTACAGTTGGAGGTTTGTTATCATTGTCACTTTACAGCACCGGTAGCTCCAGCTGGTTTGGATACGGTTGGATGATAAAGCAGACAGAGCAGAGTGGAGGCTGAACACGCTACTTAGAAAACGCACACAGCCACCCTGCAAAGTGTATTTAACAGCTAATGTTGGTTTTCTTTTAAAGTAAAATAGAATTTGACTGTTTTTAGAGAATCTTGATGGGATTTGAGGAGCATTTCGGGCTGCAGGCTTGTGGATTATCTCCAGCAAGCGCAATAATTTGACATGTTTTAAATCCACATTTTGTTGGCGTAAACTCTGCCCTGAGCATTTTGGCCCGCAGAGGAGTCTTTAAGAGGAAGAGAGCAGCGGATCAGGTCGTGCTAAGCTCCACGAAATGTCACTTACGCCTAATCGAACCTGTTCACCAAGAATGTCGTGCAGGAAGTCATGTGTTTGGGTGTGTGTGTGTGCAGAGCGGAGAGAGAGGGAGGAACAGTTAGATGATAAGGTGTGAGTTTGAATTTCTCCTGTAGGCTGTTTCAGTGGGAATGTGAGAGCTCCCAGCGTGGATTTGTAGCGCCGCAAGATGCTAAAGTTGAAGAAAAAGAAGAGCTGAATTTTTAAATTTCTTCTTGCAGGTAAATGTTTCTGCCTTTAAAGTGATTTTTTGTCATTTCTCAAGTAGAAACCAGCAACAGAATCTCTACACAGCCACAAAGTAGAGTTCTGTTTTCACGCTACACTCTTTTAGAACAAGTAATAACCAAATTGCTGTATTTGTTTTAATAGGAACACTGCTTTATAGATTTTTCTTGCAGCGTTCATCATGTTTTTGCATAAAGTGTGAGAGACACAGGTGTCATTTGACTAAACCGTTGTTGATAGGAGATTATCGTGTCTTTACAGCCGAGACACAGCTGTAGTATTTTTCTATATGTGAACAATTATTCAAGTCATATGTGACCTGTTCATCAATATGTGCTGATTTGGTGCTTGTCTGGGCTCTTTTTTAGGTATACAGGTGTGTTACTTTTAAGGTATTTCTACAGAGTTTGTAAAGTTGTTCAGCTTGTTTGGGTTTTTTTTTTTTAAGACTTTACCAGATTCAGAAAAAGTACCACACAATACTACAATAAAGTGCCAAATCCAAGGTTTACATCAGTACACTACAGAAAAAACTGTGTAGGAGATTCGACTCTTTGAGCATATAAAGCCCAAAGTTTAGTGGTTCAAAAGGGGACAAACACTAAAAAATGAGAATAACTGATATTTAATGAGACTTAGTGGAAAATCAGTCAGTGACAGAAGTTTTTAACTGTTGATGCTCTCGTGGGTTTTTACCACAAACACCTTCAGCTCTTCTGGTTTGGTCTTCAGCACTTGGAATGCAGCTCAGTCAGTCAGATTGAGATCAGCCAGACAACAATATTCCACGTCTTTAACTTCAGAAGCTTTTGTCTGATGTTGATTGTATGCCGAATGTCCGTCTGTCATTTCCATCTTTCTGATGAAGGTTTATTTGTCTTTCATATCTCTACGGTGCTTTGTTCTGAAAACCAGTTCTTTCTGTGTTTTTATAAATTGCCAACGTTTGTTTCTGTTTTGTCATTTACTAAAAACATGTTCAGTTATTTTTTCTTTGAGCCAAATTGCCCACAGTGTTAATCAACTTGAAGCAGACACTTGGGGACTTAATGTAGTATTTATCATTTTATTACAAATTGAATCTGCTGAGGAACAAAAACAAATCATGTGCAACTTTTCACTGATTGGTTTTTACTCAAAGCCCAAAAACAACATTTATACAATTTGTTGAAGATAGAAAGTTTTATTTGATCTCTTTTTTTTTTTTCTGTGTGACTGACACCAACTGAAGACAAGTCCGTGCTTCATCTTGATATAAAAGCATCATTATCATTCATTTTACTACAGTGATGTCTTCAGTGACAGAGGCCTGTGGCTACTAATGCTAACACTGTCTACCAGTCTGCCATATAGTACTTTAACTGTGTTTTAATTTCTATCACAGAGTATTCATTTGTATTATTGTATCAGAACTAATTGGACAGTTGGCAAGGTAAGGCAGGTTGATCTGTACAATTTGTACCGAAGGTAATTCAAAGTGCTTCACACAAAGCTGTAAGAAGACACATAAAATCAATTCAAAGACATAAACACAATTTTTAGTTAATTACATTAAAAGCAAAGAGGCAGATCAAATCAGTCCATAGCAACATAAATATAAACATTAATTAGAAGAGTACAGATAAAATACTTTCAGCTGTCATATGCACTAGGAGTCTACAGAACACAAAAATCACGGTTCGGTTCGGTTCTTAGTTAACGGGAACATTTTTTCTAAAATAACCCTGCTCATAATTAATCCAAAACATTTGTTTATTGTATTAAACCAAAAAGCTGTTATCAGCTCAGTAAATCAAATTAAATGTACAATATATACAAATGTAACAGAAATACTGCTGCATCGTTCTCAATATCAAATAAAGAAAATATAATAAATAAAAGTACAAGTGTAGCATTAACAATTCCACCTTATTGTTCTGCTGTAAATATAACTGAATTACTTTTCTTGTATAAAAAAGGAAGACACTGCTGCAAACAACCACGTTCAGCCATAAATATAAAAAATAAATATTTTTCAAATAAATTAAGGAAGTATTATGCAGCCAGATGTGAGCTTGTGTGCTGTTCATAACTGGGGTGAGTTTGTACAACATGGTTAATAACTAGAAGAGCACTCTGAGGGCGCAGAGCTCCGCCCAGCAGCTCATTTCCACCAGATTGTGATTTCCAGCAAGTCCGGCATTCATTTGATCTACACTATTAGATTCATGGACAATCAGAACATAGCTTTAGCATTTGAATTAACATTGATATCATCATAACAAGCTGACGGAGTGATGAACGTTCGTTCTGTACTCTCAAACATCTTCCACACTTATTTCTGCAGTTACTTACTAGCTTTAATCTGTTAGCTAACGCTGTGCTAGGTTAGCATAACTACAGCGATGTTATTGCTAACACAGGGAGTAGCTGAAGCTAGGTTAGCACAACTTTAGCAATGCAAGGTAAATGAAAAGCATGACGGACGTCAGTCGTCCTGACTCAAAGAGAGTTAAAGTGAAACAGGAGACATGTTGAGCCATTGTCAATGTCACAAGGTGGTTCTGAACTTAGCTATCAGTAGCTCCGCTCAGCCCACTCCTGTGATGCTGCCTGGCTGTAGCTTCCTCATGTACTACTGAGAAGACAGCGGTGAGGACTGAGGACTGAATGTAGTCAGAGCTCCAGCCCAGCAGGCAGCTACGCTTGGATGCTACCTTTTCAAATGAGTGTGTAAGTCTGACGTGTTGCCGGATGCATAGTTGAGGACCGCTTCACAATGTGGACATCCGGCTTTCATCTTGTGGACTTGTTTTTCTCCTTTTTCGGACTTCACCAGGAATCCGAAGGGATCCCAAACGGGTGATTTTGATGCCACCGGAGCGTCTTCCAGCTCTGGCTTGTTGTTGTTGTTAGCATTAGCCGTCCCATTCGCTAGCCATACAGACCAGGCTTATAAGGAAGCTCCGACAGGAGTATAAACGGTCCGTCACATCCTGTGGTCCACCGGAAACTCCTACTTGTTTTTAGCTCCGCAATACCGCGCAACTGTGAGCTAGTTCAATGTCAAAATACAGTGAAAATGTCCTTCTGTTTCAAAGTCTGATCTGTTGTTTGTCCAAAACCAAATATTTTCTGTTTGTGATCAGATAAAACAGAGAAGCAAGTCCCACGTTTGTAGACTGATCACCTACTGGTTGACTAACGTGACTAATCAACTGCTTATTTTAACAGTATTTACTTTGATTGGAAGTAGGACTAAATGTGTCACCTATTAGCTGCACACTCCTGTTAGTGACCAAATACTGTGGTTAGCTAACAAGAAGAAAACATGTGTTGCTCATAATAATGTTGTTTAAACTTTTAACTTGTCCATGAAGCCACGCTGAAACTCCTGTGGTCCTCACATGTTCTGTGTTCCTGCATTTCAGAGCCACATGGATGCTGAGCGTCATGGTGACCATCATAGACTATCCGGCTCCCGTGGAGCTGATTTCATCCGCTGGAGAGCTGAAGATGCCGTTCTCAGACGCTGTCAAGTACAGCATCCTGGGCATCTCAGTCACCCTCCTGCTGCTGGCACTGGCCATCCTGGCCTGGCAGATCTTCAGATGCTGCACAAAGACACACAATACGTACAGCCAGCAAGATACAGGTAAGTAGGGGTTAGAGTAAGCTGCCAAACACTGATGAGGCTGGGTGTATGAGACAAATTATCAAATCTGATGTGTGATTTTTTTCCCCCCTCTAGTGAGCAGTAACCTGCTTTACACAGATGAAAAGCCGACAACTGCAGGAAACTACTCAGGAGCTCCGAGTACTAGGGTAAGAGGAGAAGCAGAATAAATCCAGCTTAGTAAAGCCATAGATGAGGTTAAGTGTAAGTCATGGGTTTAAAACTTAACTGAAGTCTTTCAGTCGATACTCAGGGGACAGTCTGGTGTGTGTCTGAAAGAGGTGAATCTGAATTATGAAATGCACCTCTGAAAAAGCTCGAGTAGTCACTTACTAATTCCACTTTCTGCTTTAATCATTCAGCAACCCGGTACGAGCATGAGAACTTCAAAATCATGCAGCTCAAATGTTATGTGTCGGTAATGATCTCTTTATATGCATGACTAGGTTGTTATGCAGAGTTGTGAAATAGCACAGAACAGTTTTGTGTGTGACAGCTGCAAACAAAACAAATACCCAAAGGGCTCTTAGTGAAAAATGTAAACGTCTTTGGGGTGTGATCACAACTGGACTTAAAAATGAGTATAAAAAAAACGTTTTCATCCATCTTGGAAGTGTTTCCTTATCGCTTTACAACATTTCAAAAAATCACAAAAAAGACTATTTTATGTCAAAGTGAAACTGGTTTCTTCGATGTGATGTCAATTGATTAAAAAAATAAAATGCGAAACAACTCTTCACCCCTTAAACTGACTCGCATAATTCAACACAGTGCAGCAAATTGGTTCTAGCAGTTGCTGATGGTTTTCATTTTGACGTGAAAGAGTCTTGTTCTGGTGTGAATGCGAGTGTGCTTGGTTGTCTGTCTCTAAGTGTAGCCCTGTGATAGACTGGTGACCTGTCCAGGGTGTCCCCTGCCTTCACCCTGAGTCAGCTGGGATAGACTCCAGCCCCCCATGACCCTAGTGAGGATTAAGCGGTGTATAGATGATGGATGGATGGAGTCTTGTTCTTGTCAAAGGAGCGTAATATATTTTAATGTTAAAAAACAACAAAAGGAGAAAACTTTCAAGGGATTTGAATACTTTTTATAGTAACCGTAAGTACAGCAGGATATCATATAAAAATGAAGAATTTTAATACACTTTTAGACCTTTAGTGTACATTACCAGCTGACATGACTGTTGTTGTTGTTTTTTTTTAACAGCATGGTTATTATATCTGTGATAGTCAGGTTAGTAAACCACAGGCTGGGCGAGGCATTTGTGTTGTTGTTAGGCTCTTGCATGGGAAACGATGTTTGAGAACTTGGACGCCGTCTGTTTGGATAGTGTACTGTTTGCTTCCCATCACATGAGTGTCAGTGAAAGTTCTGCTGATTTTTTTAACCAGTTAACAGAATAAATTGTGGCTTAAAAAAAAAAGAGGTTATGACAGAAGTGTAGGGTTAAAGGTTGAGCTGAGTTATAACACAAGCTACAGCTTTCACTTCTGCTGCTGTTATCACCATCAGTACGTTTTTGATTCATTTTTTATTTCATGTTGATTGTAAAATACATGTTTTGTATTTGGGTATTTTTTTTATTCAGACCATGTAGCCTGTGAAGATGCACCACACAGGCAGAACCGTCTGTATACTTAAAGATCCCTGAGCATGCTTGTTCAAACAAAGCGAGAGCCAGAAACCAAATATAAGCTGGAGGTGCTGGTGTCATTAATACACCGCTGATGGAAACTGTGCGATCTGCAGGTGGAGGACGTCAACACCGAGGCCCACAGGCTGAGCCGATGTCTGTCTCAGGCCTCGTTTCCGCCCTCCAGCCAGAGAGACGAGGACATGGGAGAGCAGGAAAGCATTACAAAGGTAGCAGAGATCTTTGTGTAAATAAAAAGCAGCGCGCAGGTTGACGGCTGCAGTGAATTCATAGTTTTCCACTGTCTGACTGCTGGTTACTGCTCAGTATTTGTGCTCATATTTTAACAAAAATGTGTGAAAATCCTTCCTTTGATCTTTGCATATTGAGATTTACAGACATGTATCACTGATTGCACATTTTAGGGAAAAGACAGCATCAGCATTTCATGTCTTTCACAACATATCTTCATTTACCAGGTTGACGGAGTGCTTCGGTTCTCCGTCTACTACGACCAGCTGCAGTCGCGTCTGGTGGTCACCGTGTTACAGGTCGACGGGCTTTTGCAGCACAGCCAGACCTGCAGCCTCCAGCCGTTCGTTAAGCTACGACTCATGTTGGCCGGATCAGCGACAGTGGAGATGGAGGGATTTAAAGACGAGGAGGTAGTTTAGTTTCTTAAAAATGTAAATGTCAGCTTTTGCTGTTCTGTTTTGTTTGCAGCTTGAGCAGATTTTTGGCAAAAAATCTGTCACCTCTGTCGCTCGGTTGGTGCAGTGTGTTAGTTCTAAAAGGTAGAAAAGTGCTGTTGATGGTGTACTGCTGTGATCCTCTCAGGGTGAAGAGACGCCGCCCGTTGTGTGGACGGTGCTGCAGGAGTGGAGGACTCGCATTGTGAAAGGCAGCTGCAGCCCTTTATATGGAGACCAGTTCAGCTGTATTCTGCAGGAGGATGAGCTTCATCACGTCAACCTCAGGATGGAGGTCACTGCCCAGCTAGGATTTCTATGTTCCATAAACATCCTGCAAAAGTTCTACTAATGTTTAAAGCGAGAAGTTTGCTTTTAGTTCCCAGAATGTTTTTCTTAGGCAGAAAAATGTTCTAAAAAAAATGCTTGGCGGTAAGATTGTTAGACTGTTGTGCTCTAATGGTCTAAAAACTGAATGTTGCACTGAGAACATTCCTCTTTTGTTGTCATGTGACACTGTGGAACGTTGAGGGAACATTTTATAGATGCTATAATGTGGGACCTCAACAACATTCCTAGAACATTGCAGGCAGAACATTCCACATTTTATAATATCTGACCTTACAGGAAAGCTTTATAAAGAACACTCTGTCATCTTAGATCTCGATAACACCTTAAAAATATTTTAGGAGAACATACTTCCTTTGTTATTGTTGAACTATTTCACACACACACACACAAAAAAAAATTATAATGTCTTCTCTCAACAAAAAGACAAAATGTTCTAGCTTTACTACGTCACATTGCTAAAACTGTTCTGTCATCTGGGGTCTCAATAACATCTGAAAAACATTATTTTTAATGTTGGTTTGAGAACATTCTTCCCTTGTCATCATGAAACATAGTGAGAATGCTTTACAGAAGAACATTCTGAACAGCATCCCAAAAATATCCCGAGGACATGGCAGGCAGAACGTTCTAACTATAGGAACGTCCTATAAAGAATGTTCTGTCATCTGAGATCTCGATAGCATATGGAAAATGTATTTTGAACGTCCTTCCCTTGTTATTACTGGGGAAAAGGTTTTCTAGAAGGACCTTTCTATAATGTGTTCCTAAACAACAACCCCAAAACATCCACAGAACATTGCAGACAGAATGTTCTACCTTTGGTAATGCGTCACATTACAGGAAAGTCTTATAAAAATCATGTTAGTCCTCGATAACATCTGGAAAACATTTTTTGAATGTTGGTTTGACAACGTTCCTCCTTTGTTATCATGTCACATTGTGGGAACATTTTATCGATTCCGTAATGTGTTCCCTCAACAACATCCGCAAAACATTCTCAGAACATTGCAGGCAGAATGTTCCACCTTTGTTAATATATTGCATGACTGGAACGTCTTATAAAGAACGTTCTGGTATTTAAGATCTCTCTCTCTCTCTCTCAATAACATCTTGAAAAGGTTTTTTTTAATGTTGTATTGAGAACATACTTCTTTTGTCATTATACGAGGGAAGGTTTTATAAAGGAAAGTTCTATAATGAGTTCTCTCAACAAAGGGAACAAATGTTTCAGCTTTAATATATCACATTACAGAAACGTTATGAAACGTTCTGTATGAAAAAATGATTTGTGCTCTGAGGCCTCAGTAACATCTGGAAAACATTTCTGAATGTTGGTTTAAGAGCGTTCTTCCATTGTTATCATGGAACATAAAACGTTCTAAATGTGTTCTTCCTCAACAACATCACCAAAACAACCTCATAATATTGCAGACAGAACGTTCTGCTTTTGGTATTGTATCACATTATGGGAACGTCTTGTAAAAATTACATCGATAACATCTGGAAATCTTTTTTTTCTAATGTTGGTTTGAGAACGTAACTCTTTTGTCATCATGGAACATCATCTGTGTTTCTGACAACACCCACTGAATGTTGACATTAAAACATTATATTAGCTTCACAGGAACATTACTGGAAACGAATATATTCTGAAATTGTTCTTTCCTTTTAAAAATGATTAGAACTTCTAGGTGATGTTGGGAACGTTCTCTGCCAGCTCGGATCTCGTTTTCTCAGTATCTCTAAAGTCTTGTTTGATCAATCAGACTCATGAGGTGTGACTTATTTATCTGAAACACATGCATGACTGCAATAAATAAAAATGCACACAGGTTGCATCTTAGTTGTCAAGTTGTACCTTCAGAAGCCTTTAAAGCCAGAAGTAGTGCAGTCATTCAGGCCTTGCAGTACACACAGTGTGTTAAGATACAAACAGGAGATTTTAGAATCCACTCATGAGGGGAAAATCATTGTACTGTATGTACTGGGTGCTTCTGTAAGCCTGTCCTGTGTCTGTTTATGTCGCAGGTGAAGGACTTTGATAAGTTCTCCAGACACACAGTGTTGGGGGAGGTGAGGCTTCCTCTCAGGCAGCTCAACATCTTTTACCCACTGGAGCTACAAGAGGAGCTGCAGATACCCCAGAAGGTAAAACATGTAAATGTTATTCCTCGACTTTCAGCTAAGATGAAATAAGGGACGCTTCTGAAAAATGTAATGTAGAATATTTTAACATAATTATAAAACTGAAAAAAAAAACATAGTAATGTGCAGAAATTTCTCACATGTCCTGTAGTCATCCAAACATATGTACATTTAGCAAACTCAGCCACAGCTATAATTAATCATAATGAAAAAAACTATGTGGGCTAAGGAAGTGATTTTTAAGTATTGACTGGCTAATTGGAAAAATTAGAGAGTGCATAAATGTAAATAGTTATTCAAATGATGTTTACAGAGACAACATATAGGTCAACATACGTACTGGAAGAGATCATTTGGTGTAATGATGCTACTGTACACTCACCAAGCACTTTATTTTATTCTCATGCAGACGAGCAAACATTTTCAGTTTTAGTGCTAATTCTGCTTTAGGTTTAGAATTGATCATGTTCCTAATAGGGCTGCAAGGTGGCTCGGTGGTTAGCACCGTTGCCTTGCAGCAAGAAGGTCGCCGTTTCGCATCCCGGTGCCCCCACCGCGTGGAATTTGCATGTTCTCCCCGTGCAGCGGGGGCTATTGCTTGAATATTTTTGCTACTTTGGCTTATAAACACTCTAATTCAGCTGATGTTTCAACACTGATCAATTGAATCTACTGTAAATTTCTCCAGCAATCTGTGATTAAGAGACATTTTTCTAGCTCAAAATAATTTTATCTTATCTGTCAACCTTATCTATGTTGACAGTGTATATAAATTAATTTATGCTGACGTGTTTGTCGTCTGCAGGGGTACAAAGGAACTAAGCACATTCACTCAAATACTGTACTTTATTACAGTTTTGAGGTCCTTTATGGTACTTAATACTTCCACTCCACTACATTTCCATTATGTTTAAATGACCACTTTCATTATGAGGATTTTACTTAATGGATAATCTTTTAAAATCGTCCTACCTCACAGTTGGTGGTTTTCAGATTTTGTGGCTTTTGATATCTCACAAAAAGTGAGTTGTTGTTTTTTTTTCCCCTCTCAACTTCTCACATGGTTTGATGTCAATAAATCTTTAATTATCCAATATCTCACCAACAATCAAAGATGAGAGAAAAAAGTTCACAAGATTGGTGCATCACAGCAGATTTTTTTCTCTCTTCTTTCCTCTTCCATTAATTTTCCATTTATCTGCTGTACCTGTGGATAAAACTGGGTATGAAGTAGTTTAAACAGCAGCTACACAGAAAAATTTGAGTTGTCAGACCAACTCTTTTGCTTCAACTGGTAACAAGAAACATCAGAACCACTGTTTTGAGTTGGACTTACTTTGATTCTTCTCAAATGAACAGTTTGCATTTTTGCAGCTTTATTCTAAGAAAAGTCAAGCTGAAGTTTCCACATTTTTCCAAAGCAAGTTTTTCTTCTGTCCAAACCTAAAATGTAGAACATGATTTTGTCATTAGACTTTATGTTCTTTGATTTTCTTTTCTCTGTAATCCTACTCAACGAAAACAATAGCTGAGATACTGCTGAAAATTTTGAAGAAACATTGTGATATCAGACACACAGCACAAACGCTGAAGTGAAGCAATGTTTTACACTTTTCCAGAAAATAAAATAGAAGTTTAAAGGGATGGAGTGTAATCTCAAGTTAATAGGATCCAAAAAAATACCCAACAGGGATAATCAAAGCTGAAAGATGAACGAGATTCATTCAAAACAATATTTCAGTTTCAACTCAAATACACTTTTTTACGGTGTACACCAGTAGCATGTGGTTTACACACTGATGCTTCACCTCTAATAATCTAATGATGTCATATCTGATAATTAATCAGTCGAAAGAACCAAACCAGGAGTTGTACTTTAACCACATTTTGCTGCTAATATTTACGTACTTTAACCTATTTCGGACTTTTCGTGCTCTAGTTTTACCTTTGCTGAAGTATTTTGGTACTTAAGTAAAGATAGGAATGCTTCTTCCACCACCCATCCTCTCACTGTCTGCTCAGGATCTTGTCGGAGAGGTGCTGCTGTCCTTGAAGTTTCTTCCCACTTCTCAGAGGCTTGAGGTCGGTCTGCTTAAGGTCAGGACGGTCCTCACTGAGATGTGCTCAGATGCAGGTAAACAACAAATGCCTTCACAAAAATAAAGCATGCACACACAGTTAGAAGTTCGTCTCATCCGCATGTGTGTCCTGCAGCCCTGTATGCCAGGATCAGCGTCCAGTGCAACCAGTGCAAGCTGAGGTACCAGAAAACCTCTGCAGTGGCTCGCTGTCTGGTGACTGTCTTCAATGAGGTCCTCATGTTCTCCCTGCCACAGTTTCCTGTGGAGCAGTGCAGGATTTTGGTGTCTGTGTATGAGACTCACGCAGCGAGGAAATCAACCAAACATCTGATCGGACAGCTCAGTGTGGGGAAGGACAGGAGCAAAGAGGACGAGCACTGGACCTCGATGATGCGCTCAGTTCGCCAGCCAGTAGCGGAGTGGCACAGCCTGCTGATCTGACTTACAGCTCTCATGAACCAGATCTCGTGCACTTTGTGGATTTTTGTCGACTACACGGTTGAAATGAGGTCTTCATGCTCCTGCCTAAACAGCAAATTCATCTGAAACCTCATGGTACCCGGTCTACTTGTTCACCTACATCTCTTCGAGTTCTGCTTTTAGCTCCAGCTTTATCATATAGAAAGAGTTTAAAAGATTAGAACTAGCACTCCTTGCTTGTTAGGTTTTGCACTTTGTAAGGTCACTTACTGAATAACTGTATTTTTGTGTTACCATTGAATCTATCTGTAAGCGTTGCTGTTCTTTTGTCCTTGTTTTAACTGTTCATTCTGCATTATTAAATCTTTATGTTGCAACTCTGAGTAAATTCAGTGTTTCTTTGTAAATAAGGAGAAGCTTACGGTTTATATGATGGACAGACCATATATTTTTAAAGGCTATGCAACATAAATGAGGCAAAATAACTCAATCTTCGTGCCTCCTCTTTTCAACTTACTTGTGGTAGTCGGTAGCAATGCTCAACTTTCTCAACTTCTCAGGAGTGTCCAGCTTACGCTTATAGAGTCAATATTAATATCTAATATTTAGATGTTTAGTTTTAGGTTAAAACTGGTTGGCTGCACCACTCTGATTTTGATGACAGGCCTCTGTGTCTATCGGCCAGTTTAACAGTTTGTTTAACCCTGAGAGTAGTATTTCTTGAGTCATGTGTGAGTTTTGTCCATGAGCAGTCAATACCTGAACCACTTAGTGAGGACTGGAACTTAATATGATGATGGCTATTGTTGTAAAAATGTGTAATTAGTTGCATTTTCCATAATCTAATCATTTGGTGTATTGAAGCTTGATACCTATTTAAACAAAAATAAATTTCCATTACAAGACAGAATCCAAATGTTTGATTAAAAAATAATAAAAATAAATAAAAACAGTTTAATATATATATATATATATATATATTTCTATTTTTATTTTAACTGTACACAATGAATCCGAAGATTTAAATAAATCAATAAAAGGTAACTTTTTCTTAACAAATTGCATCATAAGTTTGATGTAAGGCAATATTTTTCTGCTCAACAACAATAATTAGACTACATGCTAGATTTAATGATGGCATCTCAGAAAGATGAAAAAGCAGGATAGGTATAGCTATTTGCAGAAATAAAAAAAAAAAACACTTTTTGTTTTTGGAACAATTATATGAATAGTAATTACAAACTTACATTTGGTTTTTGGGAATGCATTAAAGGCCACTGTGGGCCTTTTTCTTTAAAATAGAGTCTCACTGCGGTCACTATTTAGGTATCAGTGTTATATCTATTCAAACTAGTAAATCTTCACAAATATATGTGCATGAAAACAACAAATGTTGGCAAAAGTGTTGTGCATGCTGATCACAACATTATAAATGGTGTTTATGTGGCCTGAACCAATGTAGTACTGCGGGGGTGCGCCATCTGTTGTGCGCATGCGTAACCGTTTAAACACCGGCGACAACTGACGGCCAAAATTCATTTTTTCAAAGGTAAGAAAAAAACTCACAAAAGTAGCCTGTAAAATTGAAGTCAGGTGTGATAATTTGTCTATTTAGTTATGTGCTGTATATATATATATATATATATATATTTTTGTGACCGTTCAGTTTTTCTTTTCTTCATTTAGCTAAACAGCTAATTTAGTAGCTTCACTGTAGTACAATTAGCATAGCAGTTAGCTCGCAGATAGCATATACTGTTCGCGCTGTGCGTGCTTGTCAAGTTAAACCCCTATAGTTATGTATATAGCACATTTTAAACAGCAAAAGTGCTTTTCAATGAAATAAATAGAAATTTTCTTCATGTTTGTTTTGTTTTAGTTGATGTTAGTAATGTTTTGCAATATTAGCAGTGCTTTTCAATATAATATCACAGGTGTTCCTGATTTAATATAGCACTCAAAACATCTACTCCATTCATGCACAAGATGGCACTATAGCAGGGAACAATCACAGGACCTACCTATCTCACTTAACTGTGGTGTTGCCAGTTTTTCCACTCTTCTGGTGAACTACAGTGGTGACATTGCCACTGGACTGGTTAATAGTGAGTGCTGATATAGACTGACTTCAAGTTTTTGAAATGGTATATGTACATTGTAGACATGCAGCCCTTCGTATGTCTATTGGGGCTTTTGCAAAATTCCTGAGTGTGTTTATTTTCTGAATAATTTTTTTATAAAGAAACGTCCTGTCAAAAAATCTTTCCTATCTTTTTGTATTCTGTAACTGGCTACATCTTGTTCAGGGCCATTAGCAAGGGCTCAAGGTTTTATGCTCAGATGCCAGAGTATATTGTGCTGTTAAATTTTTTAGGAATTGTCTCTGGTCTCCAAAGCTTCGAACTGAGAATTCATGTTTAATTGCTAAAAGGATCATCATTCATTTGTGAACAGGAGTTATTGTGACATCATTTAGTTTTTCTATCCAACCAGTTTCTCGGACTTCTCCTCTGAAGTGGTCCTGACAGCAGCATGCTTCAATAAATATTGTTCAGCATTTTCATAACCGTATCTTCTATTTACTCTCTCTCAGAGGACACAATGTAATAAAAATATGACAGACAGCCAAATAAATTCAAAAATACTTTATTGTGGTATTTTCTACATCATATTATATGATTAGAAATAGACCCTTGGTTCGAGTACATTACTCAGCTGCATCTTTGCCCTGTAAAACAAAGAAATAATAAAATAAGTACAAGCCTATATATATGTCACATTCTGCATGCATATAGACATTTTATCTTTAGTCAGTTTTATGAAGCATAAGACAAGAATGTATGTTTTTAGTAATGAATTAGTAACTATCTGAATGTCAGTCACTATTTACCTTGCCAGAGTCGCGGCTCTTAGCTCTGAGCTTGTTGACCTGGGACTCAGCAATGTCAGCGCGCTCCTCAGCCTCCTCCAGCTCATGCTGGATCTTCCTGCACTTGGACAGGTGAACATTGGCCTGCTCCTCCTGGAATTCAAGATACAGTAAAATGTTTAGTCCCATATGTTTACCATATGTGATATAACAGTATGAAGTGCTCATTTGTTTTAAACAAATGCTTTTCCTTACCGCTTCCTCAGCCTGCCTCTTGTAGGCCTTGACCTTCAGCTGCAGCTTGTCAACCAGGTCCTGCAGCCTGGTGACGTTCTTCTTGTCCTCCTCAGTCTGGAAGAAGAAACATAGATTGGTTTAGATGTTCGTAATATTCAATATTATATTTATTTGTACTGTACATGCTAGGTGGCCATGTAACTGTACCTGATAGGTGAGCTCCTTCACTCTCCTCTCATATTTGCGGACACCCTTAACAGCATCTGCACCACGTCTCTGCTCATTCTCAACCTCTGTCTCCAGCTCACGCACCTTTTAAAAGAACAGAAAATTCATACATTATGTACAATTCATGTGTTTTCATACAGTTGTTGAACTGCAAAAATCTTATTCTGTTCATCTTACCCTAGACTCGAGTTTCTGGAGCTGCTTCTTGCCACCCTTCATGGCCAGGTTCTCAGCCTCATCCAGGCGGTGCTGCAGGTCCTTGACAGCGACCTCCAGGTTCTTCTTCATCCTCTCCAGGTGAGCGCTAGTGTCCTGCTCCTTCTTCAGCTCCTCAGCCATCATAGCAGCCTGAAAAAAATGATGATTTAATGAGAAATGCTATCACAAATCTCTGCTTAGTTGGCGTATAATAGTAAACAAATGGCATTGTAACCTACATCAGTGATAGCCTTCTTGGCCTTCTCCTCTGCGTTCCTTGCTTCCTGAACAGTGTCATCCACTTCACTCTGGATCTGAACCAGGTCAGCCTCAAGCTTCTTCTTGGTGTTCAGAAGGCTTGTGTTCTGAAAGATTAGAAATTTCTTAAGTTATCTCTTTCCTTCTATAGTGGTTTAGATTTGTGAAACTCTGGAGAAGTGTTTAAAGTCGTGTTCACCTGAGAGTGCAGAAGTCCAACACGCTCACTGGCATCCACCAGCTCCTGCTCAGCGACTTTGCGGCTTCTCTCTGTCTGTTCCAGAGCAGCCCTAAGCTCCTCAATTTCAGCCACCATGAGACCGTTCCTGCGGTCCACCATTGCAGCCTGTTCCTTCAGGTCATCCTGGGCTCTGACAGCATCATCAAGGTGCAGTTGAGCATCCTAGTGTAAAAGAAAAATATTGGTATGAATATCTAAATGTTGGTTTACTTCCTGTCATGCGTGCAAGGACTCTTTGTGCTCTGTATATTACAATACCTTGAGCTGTGCCTGCACATTCCTGAGCTGTTTCTGGGACTCAGCAGCCTGGCGGTTGGCATGGCTCAGCTGAATCTCCATCTCGTTCAGATCTCCCTCCATCTTCTTCTTGATTCTCAGGGCATCGTTCCTGCTCCTCACCTCAGAATCCAGAGTGGACTGCATAGAGTCAACCACCCTCTGGCTGTTCCTCTTGATCTGCTCCATCTCCTCATCTTTCTCTGCCAGCTTCCTGTCAACCTCACCCTTAATCTGGTTCAGCTCCAGCTGGACACGCAGGATCTTGGACTCCTCATGCTCCAGAGTTCCCTAATGAAATCAAAGAAAAACATACTGACCTCTGTCTTCAAAGCTTTTATTTAATGAATGTTCATGACGAAAAACTGTTTCTTTTAAGAAGATCTCTGTGAAAAAACAGACAAAGGTTTACCTCAGCCTCCTCAAGAGCTGTCTGGATCTCAGACTTCTCTGTCTCCACCTGCTTCTTGGCCTTCTCCAGCTCATGGATGCTCTTGCCAGTCTCACCAATCTGTTCAGTCAGATCAGAGATCTCCTCTGCAGAGAGATGCATGTGTTTAATACTTTAAAGCTCTTAAATGGCAATTGTACTTGGAAATATTTCCTTCAACAAACACATGCATATGTTTTAAAACAACTAACAGCTAGCTGCTGTTGTTAATACAATCTGGTATCAACTCACGCTGCAGGTTCTTGTTTTCACGCTTCATGGTCTCCAGCTGATCCAGAGCTTCCTCATAAGAGTTCTTCATCTTGAACAGCTCAGTGCTGAGAGTACGGGCCTCCTTCTGAGCTCCCTCAAGCTCTGCCTGACCCTCCTCATACTTCTGCTTCCACTCTGCCAGAACCTAAACAACACAGTTTACACAATTATATATACATACATACAAAAATCCTTTTATAGTTACATTGTTTGGTTGCAAAAAGTAAAAGATGTTACCTTGTCAAAGTTCCTCTGCTTCTTGTCCAGGTTGGCAGCCAGCCCATTAGCTCTCTCCACATCAATCATGAGGTCCTCCACCTCACTCTGGAGCCTCTGTTTGGTCTTCTCCAGAGAGGCACACTTGGAATTGACAGCCTCAATCTGCTCCTCAGCCTCCTGGAGGCGCTGAGCCAACTTTTTCCTTTAAAAAAAGTGAGATTTTCTTGTTATTTTATGCTGTAATGCTACACATCTAACCTTTCAGCTGTTTGAATGGTACTCACTTGGATTCCTCAAGCTCCTCTGTGCGCTGGATAGCATCGGTTTCATACTTAGTTCTCCACTGAGCCACCTCACTGTTGGCCTTGGACATTCCGCGCTGCAGCTCAGCCTTGGCCTCCTGCTCCTCCTCAAACTGCTCCCTCAGCAGGTCGCAGTCGTGGCGGGCAGATTGCAGTCCATGGGCAAGAGCGTTCTTGGCCTGGAATTACACAAACAATTGAATGTGCAAAATGCCTAAATCCCCAAGCAATAATGGCAAGACACACTTAAGTTGAAGGTTTCCTACCTTAACCTCCTCTTCAATCTGTCTCTTCAGCTCCTCAATCTGCTGTGTGAAGGCCTGTTTGCCTCTGGTCAGCTGGGAGACAAGAGCCTCCTTCTCCTCAATTTGACGGCCGAACTCACCTGGAGTGAAAATAGTCATCGAACTTGAGTTTTTGTTCACTTCCTCTGTCCCACACTAAAGATCACTGCATGTACACACTATTTTGTACATACCGTTTTCTGTCAGGAGACGAGCTTTCTGTGCACCCACGTCATTCAACTGACGGAGGT